TGGTGTGTATAGAGTGTTGGCATGTAATAAGTCGTTAATTACGAGTACTCTGATGGAGTTGTATTTTGTGGTCATTTTTATGTAAATTAACGTATTTTGCTTTAAACAAAGTTTTAAATTTCTCTATTTTTCAAAAGAGTCAAACTTTGAAAAGTCAATGTGACACCTCAGACTTGTATTCGGGTCGGGTACGAGTTGGGGTGTTACAGACAAGGTCCCATGTATTATTTTTATGAAGGGCTTCGATTTCTTCTTGCATCGCCATCATCCACAGTGAAACATCTGAGCTGTTTATTGCCTCCTGGTATGTTGATGGCTCACCGTCCTCTGTTAAAAGAAAGTATGCAATATTACCTTCTATAACATAATCTGAGTACCAATTGGGAAGACTTCTCACACGATCTGATTGACGAGTTGTTGGAGCTTCAGAACTCTCTGGTTATTGTTCATCATGTGTTGGTTCTGCTTCAGAAGAATCTCCTTCTTCAAACTCTTTTTCCACATGTATCTGAGTAGTCTCTGACTTTTCAGCGCTATCAGCGTCTTCTTTTCTTTGTAGTTTATCTTCTACAAAGATAACATCTCTACTAATGATCACTTTGCGGGCAGTGGGATCCCACAAGCGATACCCCTTTACTTCATCAGCATACCCCAAGAATTTGCATTTCCTGGATTTTGGATCCAACTTTGAAATTTCTTGGGAGTTGTACATCACGTACTCTATACTTCCAAATATATGGAGGTTTGAATAATCAGCTGGTTTTCCAGTCCACATCTCCATTGGTGTCTTCAGCTCTATTGCAGTTGATGAAGCTCGATTCACCAAATAACAGGCGGTATTGACTGCTTCTGCCCAGAATGATTTTTCTAGGCCTGCATCCCTCAACATTGCTCTTGTTCTTTCTAACAAGGTTATGTTCATCCGCTCTGCCACTCTATTTTGTTGAGGAGTGTTCGCCACTGTGAACTGTCTTTTGATGCCTTCTTTCCTGCAAAAGTCATCAAATTCTTCACTTGTGTATTCTCCTCCATTATATGTTCTGAAACACTTGATTTTATTTCCAGAATCAAGTTCCACCCGCGCTTTGAAGTTTTTGAAAGTTGAAAACACATCGGACTTCTTCTTAATAGGGTACACCCAACATCTCCTAGAGTAGTCATCAATAAATGAGACAAAATATTTTGCTCCGCCTAGGGATGTAACTGGTGCTTTCCATACGTCAGAGTGAACCAGTTCTAGAACACTTTTGCCTCTAGAATTTAATGTGTTGAATTTCAACCGGTGCTGCTTACTTGTTATGCAATGCTCACATAAAGTAAGTGATACCTTTGTTAAGCCTGGAAGTAGTTTTTGCTCCACAAGGACTTTCATTCCTTGTTCTGACATGTGTCCAAGTTTCTTATGCCATAGCATTGCAGAATCTGAACTACATGAGGCAACAGAGGCTTCTGCTTCTAGCAATGTCTCTCCCTTCAGTATGTACAAGTTTGCAACTATCTTTTCACCTTTCAGTACCACAAGCGCTCCACGGAACACCTTCATGATTCCTTTTTGTGTTTCAATCTTGCTAGCATTATTATCCAACAATCCGTAGGATAATAAATTTTTCTTCAGACCTTTCACGTGCCGCACATCTCGAACAACTTTAATTGTTCCATCATACATCTTCAATTTGATGGTTCCCACGCCAACGATCTCTAAGGCATGATCATTGCAACTATACACAGATCCTCCTAAGATAGGTTCATAATGATGGAACCATTATCTTCTTGAGGTCATGTGATATGTTGCTCCCGAATCAATGAGCCATATATCTGCAAATCATTTTCTCCTTCCACGGTGGTTGACGCTTCACAGCATAGAGCATCTCCATCATCTGAAGTGTTTGCGATATTGCCTTGTGGATTGGAGTTTTTATTTAGACTCAAACAATCCTTCTTCAAGTGACCCTTCTTTTCACAGTTGTAACACTTTAAATTCTTCTTGCTTCTCGACTTCGATCTACCATGTTTGTGACTGCTGCTTTGGCCACGTTATGTTGATCTCCCTCTCATCGTTGTCATCGTTGTCAACGCTTCTGCTTGTTGCAAATTTACTTGTCTGTCTTCCTTGTTCTTGTGCCGATTTTCTTCTTGTAGAACAGTAGCTGCAACGTCATCGAAGACTAGACTGGTGACATTACTGTTTGTCAAGTTGATGATGAGTTGATCATATGAATCAAGTAGACTTTGAAGTAGAAGTTCAACACGTTCTTGTTCTCCTATTTTACAGCTTAAGGATGTAAGCTGAGAAAATAAAGTGTTCAGTGTATTTAAGTGCTCCGTCACTGAAGTAGATTCAGGCATACGAAGAGTGTACAATTTTCTAAGGAAAATTTTATTGTGCAACGATGTGGCCTCGTACAGTTTGGTGTGATGATCCCATATCTCCTTAGCTGTCTTCTTATCCTCGATACTTGACAATATTTCATCTTCTAATGCTAGATGGAAGTTTGCCATAGCATTTCCGTCCATTTCGATCCATTTGTTGTCGTCTGTGAAATCTACTAGCCTTTCGCTGATAGCTGCTAGACAACCGTCTTTCTTCAGGATGACCTTCATCTTCAATTTCCACAATGAGAAATTTCTCCCATTGAACTTTTCAATATCAAATTTCGTTGTCATTGCTTCGTTTACGGATAGCTCCCACTATTTCACTATCGTGAATAGTTCTCTGGAACCTTCAAAGAATGGGTAATAACTTCTTACTTTCTTATGTTGGAGGATCCACATTTTGGTGGCAACCACAAAGATAATAAGCAGATATTACACACTCTAATCTAGCTGTGATACCAATTATTGCGGAAGACGGCTATCGGATAGAGCAAAATCGCAACTGATAATTTGAGAAAATAAAAATGAAGATAAAAGAGACACAAAATTTACGTGGAAAACCCTTGAATAATATAGGGTAAAAACCATGGACAACGGTAGGAGAATTTCACTATGAGAAAATAGAAATTACAACCTCTCTCGATCTACCAAGGAGAAAAAAAATGATAATTCTCTCTTGATAAAAAGGAGAAAACAACTCTCAAGAAACTCTCTAAATTCTCTCTAGTATTGGAAGAAAGCTAGAATGCTTTGGGATGGTTTTAAAGCTAAATGAATTAGGGTATTTATAGTTGAAGCTTTAAGGACTAATTTGTAAATACCCTAAATTACAATGACTAATTACATAGTTTTACCATCTAAAATTTTCAACAATTTGGTGGCCAAATTTAACCAATTTTCCACCCCATTAATACCACCAAATTGCCACCCATAATGTTGACAATTGATGTAATTTGGTGTGCCAATTTTCAACATCTCCAAAGAGAAATGACACCATCTTTAATCGTCCTGGTAAAGCAATCGGTGATTCCCTTGTATGGTTCCGAGAGGCGTCCGGCTTTGATCATTTCGTCCTGGTTTTGGACCAGAAGCTTAGCCCGTTCGATCGGAGCAGCCGCTGTCTTGGAAACAGCAGCGGACACTCCTCCCATTAGGAAATCGATCACGAAACCCGAAAAACCTTTGTCCGATGGAGCTTGCACAAATACGGGAGAAACAGAGCACAAAGGCGGTGCCGACCCGATGGCTTGATGTGATGGGCGTAAAGCAGCGTGAACACCTCCATTTGCGTAAGCACCACCGATCACATTACAATTCCGGGCATGCATATTAGCAGAGAACCTGGAAATGAAGTGGGACTGGCCATGTATTTTCTGGAAAACCGATGGATACCGCGATTCATCAGCCATGTTTACAACTCAAGACGATGAGCTATACTGAGAAAACAGGCTTTTAGGACCTTTAAAATGCGTTTATGTATCGACTGACACCAAACACACCAGGCAGTGAGTCTTGTGTAATGAGTCAATTTGAAGATCGGGTCTCGAGAGTTCTACAACCATCCTTTTAGTTTGAGTTTTCAATCGGTTCGTGACGTGAACCAATGAATTCTGCTCACGTTACATTTCTTTTTCTTTTTTACAAATTTTAATCGGTTTGATTGCTACAATACGTCTTCTCTTTTTCTCAAAAAATATACAGAGGTTTCCGGTCTTATATACTTTCCGTGAATTTAGTTTTGGGTAAACTATGCCGCTATTTTTTTTTGTCATCGTTTTTTAATTAAGTGTAATTATCGATTCATTCGATTTAAAATATTCGACCGTTAATTTTTGTTAATTCATTAACAAAAATCTAAATTGATAATTAAAAAATCAAAATAACTCGCATGTCTTCTTCTTCTTCTTATCAACACCCTTGCTTTTTCCTCCTCTTCTCATCGAAAAAACTCACGTGTCTTTCAATTCTTCTTCTTCTTCTTCTTCTTCTTCCTCTTCTTCAAATCAACACACATACCTTTTCCAGTAAAAAGTCACGTGTTTCTCCTTCGTCTTTCTTAAACCTACAAAAAAGGATAATAGACAATTAAGCAGCCATCAACTTAGATGTAACTAGCTATTACCGAAAACTTAAAAAAAAATTGAACAAACACAAAAACTCAAGCAACATATACATAAGCAGTGAGTGATTTGTTTTCCTTTTTCCTGTTTTACAAAGTATGAAGTTCATACATTGACTGGTGTTTTGTTTATCATGTCCACTTGTAAACAGCTTTATAGTTCTGTAATTCGAGTATTATGTATATATATAAAGGTATAATTAAATATTTATGTCAGATTTATAAAATACTCTACTCGCTTGACTCAGCTCATGGATCTGTCGATCGGGACATAGAAAAATCGGGTAATTCTGTTGAAGATGCTGATCACTGTTTTCATAATTAGGGGTGTTCAAAAATACTCTACTCGCTTGACTCGCTTTCGTAACGATTTGTTGGAGATGCTGATCACTGTTTTCTTTTTGGAACTTAGGTTGCAAAGACAGCAAGAAAGCTTGGGATTTTGATCATTGCTGATGAAGCTTACGACAGTATCGCACTCGGAAGCACTCGGTATGTGCCGATGCGAGTATTCGGATCAACCGTGCCTGTTCTCACCCTGGGGTCTATTTCAAAGAGATGGATTGTTCCTGGTTGGCGCCTAGGGTGGCTTGTCACAAGTGGTCCTAATTGCATTCTTCAAAAATCTGGGGTTGGCCTCTAATCCTTTTGTACTCAACTATATACCATGCATATGATAGAGTTTATGATATCATTAGCTCTCATCAGATAATTGATTCGATCATGGAATACATCAATATGTCTTCTGAGCCGGCAACATTTATTTAGGTTCGGCAATCAACAATTCAACATACTTTGTTTATGTACTGTAGGCAATGAAGGTAATTGAATTTTATGAATCAGGCAGCGATTCCTCGAATCCATGAGAATACAAAGAGGGAATTTTTCTCAAACAATATCTGCATGCTAAGCGAATGTGCTGATATATGCTATAATACAATTGAGGAGATACCATTCTTAACATGTCCAAAGTAACAAGAAGGATCAATGTTTGTCATGGTAAAGGAATTGTTCATGTTAATGATCCATGTTAAATAGAAACTGGTAAACTATTTTTACTCGTAAGCTTTCATTGCAGGTGAAGCTGAACCTATCAATGTTGGAAGACATCAATGATGATATGGATTTCTGCTTGAAGTTAGCTAAAGAAGATTCTGTCATCATTCCACCAGGTAGAGCAGTGGGATTGGAGAATTGGGCTTAGATTACTTTTGCCACTGAGTCTCATCTTCTACAAGAAGGGCTTGCAAGGGTAAAAGTGTCACACCCCAATATGGGGTTAGATTTCTTTCAATTATGATATGGAAAATGATATGAAGTTGGTTGGCAAATAATTATTTTATCATATCATTATATTATTAAACAAATTGAGAATGATATAATGGGTAGAAGTGGACAAATTGTTGGGTTGGCATTCCATAATTGAAGGAAATTTTTATACAAAATCAAACATGAAGACAAAAGTATGTGGAGTCTGACAAAGAAAGCAACCAAATGAAGTTGAAGACTTTGTATCATATACGTGTAGCTTTGTTGTGCTAATTATCTAAGGGTAAAAAGGTTTGGTCTTAAAACTGTTGTTGGAGGAGATCGACTAGCCCATCTGGAACCTCTTATCAAATTATAAGAGTTTACCTAGAGTTAAATATCTGTTGTGGCTTATTTGCAAGAAAATATTGCCAACAAACGAGGAAAGGGTGGGACGATGGATGGCTTTAGATCCGGGCTGCTCAATATGTGGTGTTGCGGTTGAGTCTATTTCACACATTCTCCGGGACTGTGTAGTAGCAAACTGACAACAGGGGTTGTTCGTGCTAGGGAGGCAAGGAGGGAAGCCATTGCCTTTTATCGTCTATGCGTGGATAGGTCTCGCCGCTGGGAACCTCCACCGGTCTGATGGTTTAAACTCAACTCTGATGGGTCTCGAAAAACCTGGTTTAGCGATTTACAGAGATGGTGTTCCCAAAGAAGGTCTCATAATTCTAGATGTATTAGTGGGGATATTTGTTCTTATTCTACAAATTATGAAGGTTAAGATGCCTCAGAACAGCCGGGCACCCCTCTTTTTACCAATGATATTATCATACGCCATCCAGCGTTAAAGGGTGGGAAATTTTGGAAAGGGGAACACGACATTTTATATAGCTACAAAGAAATCTAGCCTGCAATAATAGAGAAAGTGTGCATCAAACTTTAACTACCAAGGAAAGAAATGAAGGGTACAGAGATAGCACGTGGGTTTTGATAAGGTGGATAATGAATGGAGGATAAATTGGAGCTTCAGTCCTCCATTTTGATATGGTTTCAACTTTGTTCTCTAGTTTTAATAAAATATCACCCAAGCCATGATAGTTTAAATCAAATCGATTTAGTCCCAGATTTTAGTAATTAAATAGTATAGTGGCTTCACAAGATTTTAGTAATCAAGTTGGTGAGCTGGAATTCAAGAGTAATATTTTATGTTTTTCGATGTCCTGAATCCAAATCTGAAGTCCGTTTTGTCAAATTCGAACCCGGTAAGCTGTTTTTCACTAAATTATCACTGATTCGATCCGTTTTTCAGAATTAAGCCCCGTTTTTTATGAATTTTTTTATTGTTATGTATTTGAGGAATTATTGGAAGTTGAATTAAGGATTGAGGACGTTTGAATGAAATTTAATGGTCGATCAGTATTACAGGAAATCGAGGTAATACTTTACTACCTCTTTATGCTTTATGGAACATGTTGATATTGGTAAATGCATGAATAAGATAATGTTGGTCACTTTTGTGGAGTTAAATAATTTATACACTCGATATGAATGTGGTAGAAATTCTGTAACTGAATACAGATCAAATGACTAATATAAGAGATTGAGGAATTGTTAGAATTAAATTACAGGTTTGCGATTAGTGATAAAGAAATCAGCCCTGGATTTTTAGCTTATATTTTATATCATCAAAGGTACTTAGATGATAAATTATGAGAATATTTCGATTAGGTAAAATTACGAAATTACCCTTATGTTGGAAAATGAGAAGAATTGTCCCTGGAAGTGGATTAATAAATCTGAAAAGACATATTGATCTGATAAAACTATTGATGTGCATAAGAAATATTAGTTTTACTTGGAAATTCTGGATAACTGGTTTTAACCCCAAAAGAGTTTATACAAGATACTAGAAGTCTGTTAAGGAATCATTTCAAGATCAGAGAATGTTCAAGGAAGCAATTAACCATAGGATCTCTAAATTATAAGTATGTTCGTTAAGAGTTAATACCGAAATTATTTGGTTAGGAAATTACAAAAATGCCCTTGAAAGGTAAAAATAGTCCGAGTTGACTCTGAACGGGAAAGTAACCAGAGAATTTGTACTTAAACCGATAAATTACTGATTTGATTGTTTATACCTACCTTTGTATGGAAAATTCCTGATAATTCGTTAGTAACATCTGAAAAGACTTTTAACCTGGAAATCTTCGATTTGAGAATAAATTATCAAGGGCGTTTCTTTTGTCAGAACTATTCAAAAAGACTGGAAAAGATGATACGTTTGAATTAAATAATAAGATCAGATGGATGGAAAAGATTGAAATACATCGGATCTGTCAGAATAGTTCGATGGGACTGACATAAATGATAAGTTTGAATTTAATAATAAGATCAGACGGAATGAATTATTGGGCTACAATGGATCTGTAAAATGACCAGAATACCCTTAGAATGCAAATGACCAAGAATATCACCAAGCTCAGGAATGAGTGGATATCCTCGAGCTTTAAAATGAATGGAATAAAACTGAGCATCAAAATGACCAAAATACCCTTATGACCTAGAATAAGTAAATGTCTTGGATTAATTAAGAAATCCAAATAAACATGGATGATGTGCTACCAGTAAAAGTTATGGAACGCAACTTAAGTGATCAACCAAAGCTAGTGCTATATCATTACTTGAATGATATAAGTACCACTTGAATGTTTGTTCGTCTTCTCAAATTTGGATCGATGATAATTCTTGAAGTACTTGGCTCAGCTAAACTCTAGAGCGCATACAGTACTAATAAGTGGGTATTCGTGTGACAAATCAATCACGAATACCAGAATGACTTTATTATATGACTAAATTGAACTGAAAGGAAATACAACATGTATTTGAAATTCAGAAACGTTTGAATTATTCTGGAAAACTCTAAAGTAACCGGGATAGACTTGCTTACTAAACGAACTAAGTAACCTCAATGACTGAGGATTAATTAGATGATTGGATTACTTTGGAAACACTGTTGAAATTACATGATGAATTGTCCTTATGGGTTATGAACCATGAATCAAGTGCGTACGTATTTCCTGATATCGTTGAAACGTGGAAATGAAATAAAGACCGTTGGAAGATCTATTCAGCGATGATTATGGGGATGATCTATGGATCTGTATTATGGTATTAAAGAGTGAATACACTAGAATGATAATGAATTGACTTGTTGACATGCATCAGTTTGGGAGTGTTGTAACTCGAGTTGTTTGATAATACGATCGATAGTCATAGATTGTAAATGACTTGAATCTTCGATTCTATATTTTCATCTAAAATCACTTCAGCCATGTTTGAAAACGCAAGTAACGCAGAAGGAAAAGATTCTGAATACCTCATTTGATTCAATTGGGCTGAAATCTTATGAATTCAAAGTATATTCTTGAATACCCCTGATTGTTTGGGTAATGGAATCACTCGCAGTAAATCTGAATTTAGAATTATTATGTATAAAGGTTCCTGAACGTTTTCCTGATGCACATGGAAACTTAGTGGAATTCTAAAGTATCAATCTGAAATGTCTGATTAGATCGGTTAGAAATCAATTCTCTTCAATGAGATCTTATTCCTGGAATCCGAACAAATTGCACAAGTTCATGTTATCCATACTGATGACTACAAAATGCCTCTGAAAAATACATGGATCCTCTAGTGTGTTCCCTAAGTACTATTTAATTGTTTTATCTATTTTGAAATATGGTACATTAAAATCTATGATTTACTGTTTATTGATACACCGACTTACTGGTGATGGTTTATGGACTATGACTAATATATGATTATTGGTTTTCATTGATATATGATAACGATGATTACGGATTTATGGAAATTATGCGTACTGCATAAATTGTATTTTGAAATACTAATTTTGGATGGATTGAATTACAGAGTATAGATCTGATCAAGTTGGTAAACCTTACGGACCTAATGTGACTCTTGGGTAGGCTCACGGGCCCCAAGATGATCCATTAGGTTGGCTCCCTTTACTGTGTGCTTAGGGTAAGCCCTATGAACTTATGGACTTAAGGATACATGCCCCAAAGCCTATCCTTAGGTTGGCTTCCTTTTTGCCGTGTGCTTAAGGTAAGCCCTATGGACGCAGTTATGGGAACTGCGGATGGTGTACAAGAGAATGGTTTAAACTATGAGTTTCAAAGGTTAAACTTCAGTATGATTTTATGAGATTTACTGAAATGTCATTTGATAAATGTACTTATTATGATTTTATTGTACTCTTGGAACACACTAGACATCCTATTCGATCTCCTGAAAATGTGATACTATGAATGCTTCCTATGAACTGAGATATTAATGGCTTCTATTCGTTGAACTACCAGTGGAACTACAGATTATTCCGAAAACCGAAATACGTTTGATTAAATAAGAAATGATATGGCTTTCCATTTATTGACATGTCTTGCAACATCATCTGGTAGTTATGTATTACTGAGCTTTTCGAAGCTCACTCTATTACTCACCATTGCAGGTTAAAAGAATTGTACCCGTACCACTATCAACATCAATAAGGGAGTTCTTCCGGTGCTGTTTGCAGAGTACGGTACATGTGATTAGGGGGCATGTAATTGTATTTTATTTTATTTCTGAGTTTGAAAAACCTGTTTTATTTCTGAATAATAATAAATCATTTTATGATTTGACATGTTTTAAAGAAAAGTTTTAAAATTTCTGCTATTTTTACGGTGGGTTGCTCCGGTGACCCAAATGTGACACTCCAGATCAGATCGGGCTATCCTCATTGGTATGAGGGGGTTACAAAAGCCTTTTGCCAAGGCATGCCAAGAAGCAATAAAATAACTGGAGTTGCCGGTGCGTTCGCCAATCAGCAAACTAATAATCGGAGTGTGTGGTGTGTTTGCCAATAAGCAATAAAATAACTGGAGTGGGTTGTGTGATTGCCAACTGTGCGTTGGATTCAATAATCCAAAATCCGGCGGCTCTATTTTTTTTGAATAAAATATCATGATAATATCATTCTTAGCGGTAATGTCATATTTTGTGAAGTCAATGTTTCCTAAGGGTTTAAATATGTTAAGGCTCTATATACTATTTCAAATTTTAAATATAGTCCTTATACTTGGTGGTCATAAAAAAGAAAAAAAACTTTTTTAGTCCCTTTAGTTTATTTTTTTAATTAATTTTTCTCTTAATCTTTACAATAAATAAAAATATCACTAATCGAATAATACAATTTTAATTGTCTACATTTACAGTTTTTAATGAACATGTGGATTTATTTTAATTTCTAGTTGTCATGTAATACTTTGTTAAGATGTTGATGAGAATTAATGGATGAGAGACTTAAACCAAACAAACTGATAATTTAAAGAATCAAAGATACTTAATTTTTAAATTAATGATCAAATTCGATCAGACAAAAAATAAAAAGGATTATTCATATAATTTACCCTAAAAAGAAAGAATACGAGTTATCACTATCACCTCACCCGACCGCCCACGCTTCTAGCCGTCTGCATTCCCATATTTTTTTTTCCTTTTGTAATTATTTTGTCATTAATTATTTTATTTAAAATATCACTTTGAAGAAACAATAAAAAATAATTTTTATATTTTATTTTTACCCTTAATTACTAATTTTCTATATTTTAAAAGAATTTCATCATTTCAATTTTTTATATAAAATGATTTATACATTTTTTGACTTCTTAAAATTTCTATAAATAATCAACAAATAATAAATTAATTAGAACAGAGCAAGTATATCATTTATCTTATGTCGTTTCCTAAAAAAAACAAACAGAAAAAACAAAAACCTTTTATCTTTATTAAAAAAATATCTTCTGATTAATTCGAATTGGTCCTTGTATTACATCAAATTTACTTGGTTGGTATTCATAATATGACCGTTTATAAGTACACATCTAAGTTTAAACTTTTTGACTAACATCAGTATAATTAACCTAAGAGAGTATAAATAGATTTTGGAAATAAAAATTGTAAGATTTTCTCTTTCATAAAATAAAAATTAAAACAAAATTTAAAATATATTAAAAACAATTTCCTATGCTTGGTATTATATATATATATATATATATAATCTCAATTTATGCGAGTTTAAATCTTAACTTTTACTATGAAAATATAATATATCTCTTAATAAAAATATTAAATTATAAATAAAGATTAACAATAAAACAAAACGAAGATGGAGAGACATTTATATGGACATTAAAAATATTTACATTTGTGAAGGTCAATTATATTCATTTTATTTCATGGTGTTTTATTCTAATTTTTTTACTAGTAGTTTTTATTATGATATTATAAAAAAATAATATTCATGAATTTATTTATAAATATTGTATATACTGAATTATAAACAGTTAGGTTAGGATCTATTTATACATAGGATAAAATTTTTAGCTTTATAGTTTTTTTAAGGTAATTGAATGAGTAAAAATATACTTATGGAATTTTTTTTAAATTTTTTCAATGATTTTTTTTATTTTTTACTTTTAAATTTAAGTGTTTATTTTTTATTCTTCTAATTATCTTAAAAATATAAAATAAAAAAAAGAACACGATGTGAACCGATCCTATCTCAAAATTAGTCGGTACCCAATTGTCAATATTTGTTTTCTTGAGTGCAAATTTGATAAGGTGGTACAATTTAGAGCCATTTGAAAGGTACGTACATGGTGGGTTGATGAAGAGGCACCACTTAACTAACTCAACTCCGAACTCATTGCAACAAGGAAGATGGAGAGTGGAGCAAAAAAATGGGGTTTTCAAGGGAAGCCGGAGCTGAATGCAGCGTCAGCCACCACCGTGCGAGGATATCTCGACCTGTTAAATGGAAACATCAACAAAGATAATAGCTCCTCGGTCGTTCCTCTTGCTCATGGCGACCCCTCTCATTTTCCAAACTTCAGGACCACCTCCGCAGCCGAAGATGCCATCGTTGATGCCGTACGTTCGGGTAAGCATAATTTTTATGCGCCCACCGTTGGTATTCTTCCGGCAAGAAGGTTAGTTTCAAAACTTGAACTGCTACTATTGAAGTTTGTTTATGAATGGTGGTCAACTTTGTTCGGTTTCAATTCCATCAGGGCAATTGCAGATTACCTCAACCGTGACACTCCGTACAAATTATCGCCGGACGATGTTTATCTAACGATTGGATGTTGTCAAGCAATAGAAGTTGTTATGGCAGTTCTTTCCCGCCCTGGTGCCAATATCTTGCTTCCTAGACCAGGCTTTCCGTACTATGATACTTGGTGTTCTTATAACCATCTTGAAATGCGTCAATACGATCTTCTTCCTGAAAAAGGTTGGGAAGTTGATCTTGATGCCATTGAGACTCTAGCAGATGAGAATACTGTTGCTATGGTTATTATAAACCCAGGCAACCCTTGTGGAAATGTCTTCAGCTATGAACATCTCAACAAGGTTAGAAAACAGCTTGTTTACCTTTCAGAGTAATAATTTGTTGACTGTTCTGAAATCAACATGTTGACCACTTTTCCTTTTGGAAGCTAGGTTGCAGAGACAGCAAGAAAGCTTGGGATTTTGGTTGTTGCTGATGAAGCTTATGATAATCTGGTCTTCGGAAGCACTCGGTATGTGCCAATGCGAGTATTCGGGTCGACCGTCCCGGTTCTCACCCTGGGGTCTATATCAAAGAGATGGATCGTTCCTGGTTGGCGCCTAGGGTGGCTTGTCACAAGAGATCCTAATGGCATTCTTAAAAAATCTGGGGTTGGCCTCTAGTTCTTTTATCTTTCTCTGGTTTAAGATGAGAAGCTACATGCAATTCATATGTTATTAATGATATGATTGACTCTTATCAGGTAATTGATTCGATCATAGGATTCCTTGGTTTCTCTGCTGATCCGGCAACATTTATCCAGGTTTGGAAATAAAGATAATTCGTCAAGTCATACATGTAAATGTGTCAATTTTAACCATTAGCTTATGGATCAGGCAGCGATTCCTCAAATTATAGAGAATACAAAGGAGGAGTTTTTCTCAAACATTATCTGCGTGCTTAGGGAATGTGCTGATATATGCTATAACACAATTGAGGAGATACCATTCTTAACTTGTCCAAAGAAACCAGAAGGATCAATGTTTGTCATGGTAAAGGAATTGTTCGATGTTACTGATCTATGCTAAATAGACACTGGTAAACTATTTTTACTTGTATTGCAAGCTTTCATTGCAGGTGAAGCTGAACGTATCGATGTTGGAAGGCATAAATGATGATATGGATTTCTGCCTGAAGTTAGCTAAAGAAAAATCAGTCATTATTCTACCTGGTGAGATTGGAACTTCTCCGTTATTTTCATTGTTGATTTACTTGCTGAGACTAACAAACAAAGAATTAATGATGCAGGGAGAGCAGTGGGAATGAAGAACTGGCTTCGCATTAGCTTCGCTATTGAGTCGTCTCTTATCCGAGAAGGCTTGGCAAGGGTAAAAGACTTTTGCCGAAGGCATGCCAAGAAGCCATTGAATAGGTGAAATGTGTGGTGTGATCAACAACAAAGCGTTGCATTCCATAACCCAGTTCGATTTGCTGGTTAACTTGTGTGTTAACCAATCAACCTTTCCCTTAATAACAACATGATCTTTTGAATTAAACAGGGGAGTTGCTCTAGTTATCTTGAACCCCAGAACTTATATTATATGTCATGGTCTATGTGGCTGCTTCATTCAAGACCTTATGTTACTTCTTTTAGGCATATCCACTGCTGTTATTTATTTATTATTATTCGTATTTTAACTTCTTATAGATGATGAAAAATTATACTTTAACCTTGTAAAAAATTATAATTTACTTATGACCCTTTGAAATATTCCAGTCCTTGCACACAAGTGCAAACTTGGAGCAATTTCCAAGTGCTTGTGCTTGGAAAAGGAGAAGCTGAGCAGTAAGTAGAAAAAAAAATGGAGAAATCAAGCGAGAGATGGAGATTTAGAGGCAATGAGCCGCTAAACACGTCTGCTGATGCGACTGTCACAGGTACCTTCACCATAACAAGCCAAACCATCAATAAAGAATATCAAACACCAATGATTCTGCTTAGCCATGGTGATCCAGGCATCTTCCCTTACTTCTGTACTTGTCCTATTGCTGAACAAGTCGTGGCCGATGCTCTCACTCTGCGAATTTCAATTGCCACTCTCCATTCATCGGTATTCTTCCTACTAGGAGGTATGCTCCGCCGTGTTTCTGCGAATTTCAATTGTTATCTCCGAACGTCTCTCGCACGACTTGCCTGATCGTTTGTCTCTTGATGATGTTCACATCACACTAGGCTGCTCACAGGCAATGGAAGTCATATTGACGGTACTTGCTAGTCCTGTTCCCAACATTCTGCTGCCTAGGCCGAGATTTAGCTATATCGGAGCTCGTCATTACAATCTTCTCCATTGGAGAGGTTAGGAGGTAGATCTTGACGCTGTTGAAGATCTTACGGATGAGAATACCGCTGCCATTGTTATTGTAGATCCCAAAAAATAAACTTTTATGTCAACTAATTCTTAGAAGGGGCTTAAACATAATTATACCATTTTATCGGGGGTTCGAGGCCCTTGCTCCCCTTTAGATTCCTACTACTATTGAAGTCTGTAGGAGATTGCAGATTTTTGTAGACTCAAGTGCATAATATCATACTCCGGGGTTTGGAATCTAAAGGTAGTTTAAAATTAGTATAATGATAAATTTAATCCTTATCCTTTATATTTTTGTCAATTTAATTCTGTTTTTTCAATTAATTTTATCTTTCAATTTCCTTTTTCGTCAAATTAGAATATTTTAATGAAAATATCGACTAAGCTATTAAATTTTCACTATGTTGAAAAGATAATCAATATAATAATCTACGTTATCTCATTATTGATACTCTTTCATTAACGGAATACATGCACCGTCACTTTTACGCAATTTTATAATAAATTAATTTATTACATTAATAATGAAGTATGTGATTAACCTGTACTAAATTTTTTAAATAAAGTTAGAGATCGTGTTTGCGTATGGAATAAATTTATTTGAGAGGGTCATTTTCATAATAAGTCTCTACAAAATCAAATTCAAATTAATCTTCAATAAATCAATACCAATGATCAATTTAAAAAAATATAACGAAGTGCTCATAACTTATCATGTTAATATAGTGAAAATTTTAACTGTCTGATCAATATTTTGTTAAAAAACATAATAATTTAAATAATTTCTTATAAATTTAATTTATTTTTTATTAATCAAATCTAATTTAATTTTAAAATTTAAGATTAGTTGATTAAAATATATTTTTGAACGAAAGCAACTAATTTTATTTAAAATAGAAAATATCTCAAATTATAATAAAATTATAATAAAAAATATAAATTAAGCACAAAACTAGGATAATTTCTATAATCATTCAAACAAAACTAACAACTTAAGATCATAAAGACCATACAATGAAAGATTAAAAGTCTAAACCAAGTAACTCGAACAAAGATAGATACAAATTGATTTGATCGCATCAGCAAACGAATCAAAAAAAGGGATCAAACTATTGAAAGACCATCGAAAAAATCGTAAATCATATTCGAATGACGTGAAAAGCTCTCTATGAACGTAAAACGGATATCCAAATTGCTTCGAGGGTCCAAAGCAGTAAAGATCAATAAAATATTAAATAAGTGTCATATTGATCAATCGTGACAGTATCAAATTAACCCTTAGAAAAAAGATAAATAAAAAAAGTCAGACAACTAAAATATATGCTAAAAGACAAAAGAAAGCGTGCCACAAAGACATATGAAAATGTGTCATACATGCAGACTTATCGAAAATAAAAAAAAATAAAAAGAAATAGAACTACGATATAAGAAAGGAAAAAGATAATAAAGAAATATCAGTGGTCGACAACCGACATTAAAATTAGTGTCACCGCCAAACAACAAAGACGAAAAATAGAAGAGATGAATGACATACAACGAGAGAGAAAATTAAGTTTTTCATAAATTAAATAAAAAAAAAAGGAAATATCTTAGAACTGATGTGTCGAAACCGATAAAGCAGATTGGAGAACACATTTTGTCTTTATAGAGAAGCATTCAACTGAAAGCCTTCAAAGAATGGAGAGCAACTACAAAATAAATATTAACCCTCGATTTATGCCGTCTTCAATCACTTCTTAGAAATTAAAAGCATATTAACCCTAGCTCAAAAGCTTAAAATCATAAATAAATCCAGTAATTCCTCTTGGGCCTTGATCTTCATCTAGTCTTCTCTTGGCCTACAACATGAAATGAGGAACATGGACCCTTAAAGAGTGACAAGAAGCTAAAGGAATGTTGTCTCAATAGTTATGAAATAAAATTCATGATTCAATACATGAAAACTAAAGTGAGCGTATTCCCCAAGACAATGGCTACAAACAAGTTCTTTCACTTTTCCTAGGACAGCACTAACAGGTACCTCGGAGATGCTAACTTCAAGGAAATCGAACAACGAAAACAATGTCAAGGTAACAACCTAGATAGCTAACAATGACAAGTTCATGGTTAGATAATCTACAGACAAAGTGACAAAGCCGCTTCTCTATTGAGCACAAGTACACAACAAAACAGACAAATATATGTTTTTATGCCCAATTTCAAATCGGTCCTTCCGATGACTTCAAATTTCGATCCTCAGATACACCCAAAGTATACAAAGGGGTGTCTTAAACTCGCAACAAGACATGTAAGAATCGTTCAGTAATCCAAGGGAAACAAGAACAAAGAAGAGAAATCAATGAGCCAAAACAAAAAGGGAAAGCACCTAAGTTATAGCAAATTCAATTCTCGTCAAAGTTCAATAATAAACAAACCAGAAAGCAAATAATGTAAAAGATTGAAATCTCAATACCTTCAGAGAACCAAGCAGCGCTGCTGCGAGAAACAGTGAGCATCGAAGTCATCAAAGCCAAAGCAATGGCAGAGTGATACGACAGCATCGATTCCAAGCAGAAACTCGATTCAACTGGAAACCTTCGCACCCAAAACCAAGAGAGAATCTCCTTTATATACAGTAAAAAGATATTATTTTTTTCACTAATCTGGAATTAAAGGCAGACTTGAAAATGCAGTTGGAGAGAGGAACCCTTGATGAGACACGAAACGACGATGGTGCAGCTCTGAATTGTAGGGCGAGCCGAGATGCAGCGTTGCGAGCTGAACTTGATCGGAAAATTGATCTTACAGCGACGCCAAACGATGTCATGGGCAACTTTACGGGATGTGATGAAGTCCAGAGATTTCAGATGCCAAAATATCAAAAAATTTACTTTTTATTCCTTCAGGTGCTCTAAGGATTTGAAAGTCTTTCCGAACCAAGCGAAGTAGAGAAAAAGTTAACCAAACAGGAAACAACATAAGTGAGAAAACGATAATGGGTCGAAGACTAAAACAATTAAAGAACCCTTTGTTTTTCGTAAAAGTTGCGGCCCAATAAATACTTTATTAGCCACTTCACTGTAGTGTTCATCAAGGACAAGGGCAAGGGCAAGGGCAAGGGCAAGGGCAAGGGCAAGGGCAAAAGCCTCGACCTTTATAATTCGTTATATGCAAAGGTTTCGAATTTTTGGGAGCTTTTGAAAAAGGCAATGGCTTCTCTGTTCAAGGTATATTATTTGCTTCCCAGCTGCTTTCAATGTAAATTACTTGATGATAATTTTTTCTGTGGGTGTTAAAATTACAGGACCCAACTAAGATTTCAGCGTACCGAGACAGAAGATTTAATGGCACTCAAGAGGAATTCGAGCAAGCCCTCCTCAATTCGACAACCGTCTATATCGGAAACATGTCTTTTTACACTACTGAAGAACAAGTTTACGAGCTTTTCTCTAGAGCCGGTGAAATTAAGAAAATAAACATGGGGCTTGACAAGAACTCTAAGACACCTTGCGGCTTTTGCTTTGTATTGTAACTCTCTTTCCCAACCCCCCAAAAAAATGGTAATTTTCACTTTGCGGCTCTTAATTGATTATTGGGTTTTTCATCAGGTATTATTCTAGGGAAGATGCTGAGGATGCTGTTAAATACATCAGCGGGACCATTCTTGACGACCGTCCGATTCGTGTAGATTTCGATTGGGGATTTGTTGAAGGAAGGCAATGGGGCCGTGGCCGAAGTGGTGGTCAAGTAAGTTACTTTTGTTTTGCCTGCAATTTTGCAAATGCTTGACCTAGTGTGTGTTTTTATGAAAAATTTTATTGTTTTGAATTGTGTAATTGGATGTTTAGTTCAGGCTTGCATACTATGGACCTGTGAATGTGATATGTAAAGTAGGATGGAGAGAGTATTGCTAAACTTCTATTCTTCGTGTATTAATCATCTAAGTTTTATATTTATGCAGGTGCGGGATGAATATCGAACTGATTATGATCCTGATATCCTTTCAGATGTTTGTTTGAAATTTGATGCTCATAATTTCTTATCTTGTTCCGAAACAAACGATAGATGCTTAAGTATATTAATGCTTATGCGTTGAAAAACGATCGTTGGGTTCTCTTCAGAATGCCTTTTCTGTCTATATATTGTCTCCTACCTTAACATGTTATACGCAGAGGTGGCTACGGAAAATTAGTTCAAAGAGAATTGGAAGCACAAAGGCAGCTTGTTGATTATGGTGCTGGGTCCTTGGGCTCATTCCCGCCGGTTATGCCTCCTCAGTGTGAGTTCCTGCAGACTTTTAAATATAGATCTATATACTCTAGTTGCGTTGTTGGTTGGAATTTTCCTTTTCTCGGCTCATAAAACGACAAAGTTGCCTATTGTTTTCTGCTCCTTGTTTTAAAGTATAGATCTATCGACTCTAGTCTGCATGTTCTGTATTAAAGAACCAAGAAAAAGATAAGCTAATGGCTTCAAATGAAAACTGGAAGATGATAATGAGTGGATAAGGAAATTTTTTGGCTCTCTTAGAAATGATTAGTCTCTTCTATAGTAAATTATGAACATATTTGGAAAGGTAGGCTTTATTTTATATTCTTGATAGATAATATGCTTGCTTTTGGCAGCGAGATGCTACTTTTTTCTTTTGTTTCTCAGTTTATAATAATTTCATTACTAATCATTTGATCCCCACATGGTTTAATTAATCCTCTGTACCGAAGCAAATCTCCTAGATACCTTCTTACTTGCGTGTTTATGGGCTTCTCTGTCCTTTAGCGGGCATCTCATGTTGTTTCGGATGTTAATGTGCTTGTAGAAAAGATGAAACATATTGACATGTTATATAATTACAGATGGTAAGCATGGCGGGGGCCATGGACATGGTGGTTCTTATCGTCATGGGAGAGGTATTTACCTTTGATGCACTAGTTATTCTTGTTATGTAGACACATGCTCGAACCATTCATGGACTTGATTGATTGTTGATAAATCAGATTACCATCGGAAGCGGCACCGAGATGATGACCGACATGGACGCGAAGCCTCAAAGAGAAACTCGGATCATGAATCCAGGAGAACCTCTGACCGTGACTCTAGACCGGTAATGCTTCACAGCACTATGAAAAGTTCTTTGTCAAGAAATTTTGAGTTGTTATTGTCCAGGAGACGCTATAAGGTGGAAATAGATTCATTTAGATAAAACGCATTTAGGAAAAGATTATAGGATGCTAATATCATTTTCCAATCCCGACGTTTTCACTTTTCCTTTCCGTTGCATATTTTAAACCACAATTCCGACTCAACAGGAGAAGAATCCACGTTTCCGGGAGAGTGGTGATTCTGATGATGAAGAAGAAGAAGAAGAAGACCGTAAACGACGACCTTAATGGATACTGTTATGTTTTCACGAAGAGGAAGTTATAGGTATTTTCATGCATTTGTTAGAGGTGGTGCTGCAGAGGTAGAACATTATGAAGCTTTCATGGTACAATAGGGCACACCAAATGCCCTGCTTTAGCGCCTGCCTCGTGATTTAGGGAAAGTATGTTGCGGCCGTTTTAGATGTTTGTTCTAGGCATTTGTTGTATGTTTAAAGGGAACTAATTATTTTTTTCCTTTTTCGTTATATTTGGTATACTGGCCTTGATTCTCCGTTACCGACATTTAATAATGCAAGTCTCAGCATCTCGCATATAGAAGCAGGACAGGTTCCACGGCATAGGTGTTTGTGGTTTATACAATAGCTGATTGTTACCGGACCATATCATGTGGATAGTTTATTGTTAACAAGACAGATGATTTCGTCCCTAAAGTTTGGTGAATACTCGACTCAAATAGCTTTAACCTTAATTCGAATTTAAATTTTACTCAAGTTCTTCATGAGTCAAAATAAACTATTTAAATTTTTAAATTAAATTATCAATAATATTAACGTATATATATATTTTTTAAATATAGTATAAGATTCTCATGTACTTAAAGTTCATGTTTGAGTTTGAGCTCGAGTTTGAGCTTTAGTCAAGCCAAGTTTGAGTATATTTCAAGTTTAAGGTTTTGAGTTTGAGTCAAATTTTAATAATTTGCTTTTGTGTTCGAGCCGAATTTGATAATTTTAAACTCACGAGCTTTTAAGTCTAGTTGAGCCCAATAATACTTGAATTTGACTGGTCTAATTTACAGTCCTAACCTTGATTGATAGATTGAATTTAATGAAATGAAGCCCGAAATGATGCACACCCACATTTATTTTGAATTTTAAATAGTTAATTGCACTTCAAATCTTTATGGCTCTTATTTTAAATTGATTCTTAAATTTTTTAAATATTTTAATTATATCTCTACATTACGACTCTTATTTTAAATTGATATCTAAATTTTTGAATATTTCAATTTCATACGTAAACTTTTAAATGATTGTAAGAATAATATTGGATCATTCAAAAGTTTAGGATAAATTTAGAATGAAGGTCATATTTTTGGGATGAATTCGGAATATTTAAAAGTATGAGGATCAAATAGAATTGAAGTCGTAGTTTGGAAATAAAATCAAAATGTTCAAAAATTTGAGGAATTATTTAGAATATAAATTATAGTTTAGGGATGTGTAATGTAACTAACTTAATTTAAAGTGAAGAGTAGGGGTGATCAAAACTTAACTCGAAAAACCGATTTTTTTACTTGACTCAACTCGAGAAAACTCGATTCGAATTAACTTCGAGTTGTAATTTCATAAACTCGAATCGAATCGAAAAAATTTCGAGTTCAAAATCGAATTATAAAATACAACTCGAATAACTCAACTTTCAGTCGAGTCTCTCAACTGTTTATAATAAACGTATATTACATATGAATAAATATATATATATATATATATTGTATATGGTTATAAAAAATTTTTTAAATTAGAATCAAATAATATCATAATATTATAAATATTTACTATTAAATTTAAATAGAAACTCGAAAATTTGACCCAACTCGACTCGAATTTTATAAACTCGACTAAACTATAAAAAAATTTCAACTCAACTTCAAGTTATAAAATATGACTCGTCAACTGGAATAACTTAATTTTTTTTAATTGGATTCAACACGACTTGATCTAACTTTGAATCCTAGCGATGAGTTAGAATAGTTGCAGTCTATTTGAGGAATTCCTGAAAACTGATTATTTTAGACGATTTTATCCCTCCCGGAAGACTCACTTCATCTGCAAAACACACCAAAAGTAAGCAATCTGCACTTTCCTTCTCTTCCATCTCACTTTCGCAGTTTCTGTTCTGTTCCCGCCGTTTTACAAAAGAGCAATTCCTGACCTTCATTTTCTATTAAGAAATGAAAAATCGATTCTCTTATAACATTTATTTTATTTGTACTTGACAGGCCAGCACTGCTCATGTGTTTTTAAGCCAACGTTTGAACCGACTTAACCGGACAAATATTTCTTCCTATATTAAACTTAACCAATGAATTTGGATTCTGCAATTTTACCCACACCATTGGTTCTGCAGTTTACCACATAATAGTTTCCTCTTCCATGAATAATTAATTGAAATCAAGTCCAGTATGGGAAACTGTATAGTCTTGGATTGGATCCATTTTGATTTGTAAAACATAAATAACAAAACACAAGTAATGAAACACAGGAGAGCCTATCCATAAACTTTCGTCTCCCTGCTCCTTAAACACATGAATCACTCTCCCAAGTCCCAAACCAATATTTTAGGGCATATACTCTTCTTGTCTCTCCTGATACTCATATTCCTTGTTCTCCAAGTCTTCCATGGAGTTGTCTGTATTTCCGTAGTAACCTTCATTTTCACTACTTTCCTTGCTCGATGAAAACTCATATCCATTGGGGTAGTAATTCTCCTTCCCCGCATCGTAAAATCGCTTACCACCTTCCACAAATCTGGTGTCACTCATTCCTTGTCTCTCGGTCTCGTAGCCATTGTCGTTATAGTTGCCGTTGTAGCCATCGGTGCTGTACTTGTAGTTGCTGAGGGTGTAGCCATTGTCATTGTCGTTGTAATTGTAATTGCTCGTGGTGTACTCATCGTTGTTGTTGTTGTTTTTCTCGTAGCCGGTCTCGTAACTTTGGTCGGCAAAGAGATCGTTTTCGAAATTGGAAGTAGTGGTGGGAGTGTTGCTAGTGGTGACACCCTCTTTTGCAGGGGGGAACATGTTGGAACCGTGACCGTAAAGACCATAATAAGGATCTTGGCTATTGACGTTAGCCGGTGCGGGTGCCAGTGTTGGTGCTAGTGTCGGTGCTACTGCCGGAGACAGTATCGGTGCGGCTAGAGGAGAAATTTTGGCACCGAGGTGGATGAACTTGGTAAAGAACTTGCTCTCCCTAGCTTGAATATGGAGAGAGGAGGAAAGCACAAGAAAGAAGAAAAAAGCAATGGGTTGTGCAAAGGAAGCCATGGTGAGTTAATGGTGGGAAGCTGTTGTTAGTTGCCATGTTTGTTTTATAGAGAGGAGTTGGCGCGGTCATGGCCGGGGAATTATGCGCCAATTGAGGAAAGCGAGATATGTGGGGGAAGAAATTACTGATGAGTAGTAGGGCCTGCACCATGTGCTTGCTTCCCTTTAGAATGTCTAGCAATTGGTACACCTAAAATCTTTGTTTGATTTTGCTCGGTCAAAAAGATAGCATGCTTGCTTTAATTCTCCTTTCCCTTTTGCCTTCATCAAAGTGTCGTACTGATGGCAAATATCAGTTAAGATGAACAGTAAAATTAGGTTTTATAGTTATAATATCGTTCTCGTTAGATGTTTCATCAAAGTGTCGTACTAATAGCCTTCATCACTAGCATCTGCCACGTTCTCATTACCCGATTAATTAGCAAGAACAAGGCATGTTTGGAACAGGCTAGTGATGACTACTTTATTTTCCTTTTAAGTAATGTTGAAAGAAGAAATTATATGTTTAATTTGTCGGCATAATTAATGGTGGGAAAGCTTCAAATTCAAATAATATTTGTTATTTTGGAGCTGCCTTTATGGGTCTAACACTTTCAACTTCTTAAAAGTCCGTCCAGAATGGGGAAAAAAGGGGGTAAAATGGCATTCAGAAGCCATATTCAAACTTACTGTATTGTTTCTATTTCGATCTTGCTATTGGTATGTATTTGTGTTGATGAATTTTGGATTTATTGATTTTTTAAAAAATATTTTTCACATGTTTTCATAGTTTAAATTATTATTTTTCAGTAGGTAGATAATATATATAAATAAATATACTCGCTTACTTACCTGTAAAATATTTACTAAAAATTAGTTTTAACAGATTCAAAAGAAATATCATTTGGAAGCCGTCTGAGATTTTTTTCCTCTCTTTTTCTTTCCTATCAGAAAATAAACTCCTCTTTAACTAATATTTTTCTGTCGGTGACCGTTACGATGTTGATGTGACAATTTACAGTGCTAACATGACAGTCCAGGGGAACAGATTAACGTGGCAGTTGAATTGCCACGTCAGCACTGTGGACCTTGACATCAACACCGTGAACTGGCACGCTATTACTGTAACGATCAACGACGAAAAACATAGGTTAAAAGATTACATTGAGAGAAAAAAATAATACGATGGTCACATTAATTTTTTTTTCCAAAAGAGCAAGGGCCTCTAATGCCAATTTATTACCAAATAATTATCATTTGGGCTCGTTTATGCCATTAAGACGTCGTTTTATTAGTCATTTTATGAAAATTGCTTTCCATGAGATTTAAAGGTCTTTAAAAACCAGTGCCAGACACTCAACCACAAGCTAACTTATGAGCTTGTTATATTCTTCACAAAACTAATATATATGTTTAATAGTAGTTGTATACTTTTATGATTTATCTTTTTCATCAATTCAAATCTATAGACACTTCAGTGATGTCAACTAACTGCTCGACGAAATGCCAAGCTGAATAAAATAAAATATTTGAAGACAAATAAATTATGTTCGATTACATATGGTCACACTAGCGGAACGCTCCAATATATATATATATATATATATATGCATATAATATCCCAATTTACCCCATAGAAATTACTTTCTTCTCGATTCTTGAAAGCACTCATCTTCATATCTTGCTTGTTCGAACTTCGAACTAACTTGGAAGATGAACCATAACCAGCAACAACAGATTAATCAACTTTCATGTCCCTTGTTCATTTTTGTTTCTTTTATCTAAATCGAGATATCAAACAATTTTGGTTTCTCTTCGTATACTTGTTATGCCTGAATAAATTAATTTTATTGTTAATGCAAAATAGCTTTGGATAATAAGTTGATTTTTTATAAGAACTTTTAAGAAATGGAAAAGTATCAATCATAATTTATTGTCTTGAGATATTTAATTTTAATGAGTTCAACATTTTGTCGAGCAGTTGGTTTGCATAATTGAAGTTTCTATTGATTTGAATCCATAAGGAAGATAAAAGTATACAACTACTATTAAACATATATATTAGTTTTGTCGAAAATACATCAAGTTCTTATGCTAGCTTCGTGGTTAGGTGAAAGGTTTAAGTTCATGAAGACCTTTGTTCAAATCTCATGAAAAGTAATTTTTCATCAAATGACTAATAAAAAGACGTCATTTTAGGTTGTTTGAATATCAAAATAGTTGCGTCAAAACGACGTGTGTTGGTGAGGGAGTCACATCATCACTGTCACGGCGCAAAGTTACCAGATCATCTTGTTGTTAATGAATTAACGGTGGAGTTATGTAATTGTAGTTAAACATAAACGTCAGTGTCAAAATTTGAAAAATTAAAACATAAGTGGCATAAAAGAGCTTGAGCTTAAAGGTGAATGATATTTGAAGTAATTTACCCTAATTTATATTGTGTTTTAATATTTGTATTATTTTATTTTATTTTTTATCCCTTTAGTTTTTTATTTTAAAACATTTTTGTTTTTATTATTTTACTTAACACATCAATTTTCAATAAAATACAGATTTTAAACTATTTATTATAGAATATTTTTATACTATTTTTAAGTAATTTAAATTTATATATTACTATTTAAATTATTTAATATTAATTTTATAAAACTCTACCCTGAAAGAGATGCATGAGCACCGATGAATTGAGTTCCAAGGTATTTGCGTTTTTAATGTATGACATTTGGGTTTTTGTCGTGTTGGATGGGGTTTGGGTTACGCTTTTATTATAGGTTTTGGTTATATATGTGGTTGGGTTTAATTGGTGTAACATAATTTGGTTTGGGTTTAAAAAAATTAGTATATTTATTAAAAATATTGTTAATTAACTAACGGATTGATTCAAATGGTAAGTAATTTGATATCACTTAAGCATGTCTCGAGTTTGAGTCATTGTCTATGCAAAAGTTCTCATTGAGAGACTCACCAATTAAACTAGGTGTGCGATGTAGGGTCATCCCGAATTAATAAAATGGAACCTTGAAACCCGAAAGACAACCAAAGAAAATATATCGTTATTTACAAAGAAAAAAATTTGTTATTTACTAATTAATTATAGGTTGCTTTATCTAGTTTATAATTTTAAACTTAAATTAAGTACATTTAGTATTATTACTTAAAATGTCAACAATCTTTAGAGTAAGTGGTAGGGATGGCAAAAAAAATCGAACCCGTCAGAAAAAATCGAAAACATAATTAAACGGGTCGGGTTCGGAGATGATAAACATGGATGGAGAAAAATTGAATTTTTTAAATGGGGATGGGGACGGGTTTGGTAATTCCAGCCCCGATTACCCGAATATCCGGCCCGATAAATATTAAAAATAATTATTATATATATATATATATATAATATTAATAAATGTAATTTAAATTAAGAAATATATATAAAGGAGATTAGGTGGTGTTTGGCGTTTCAAGTAAGTTTAGATTCGATAATGACATTATTTTTTAAATAACTCGTGTCATCGTGTGAAATTTAAACAGTATCAGAGATCCTCGCGGTGAAAAAAAACCATATAAGGTAAACGGTTATTTAAACGGGTAATTTTCACCGCGATTATCCCCTCGGTGAAAATTACCCGTTTAAATAACCGTTTATGCTAAACGGGGATACCCATTTTCCCGCGGTTTTCCCCGATTATCCGATGGAAATCCCCGTTTAAATCCCCGCAGTTTTTTAAGAGGAGACAGGGGACCAATCCCCAGCCCGAAACCACCCCGTTGCCATCCCTAGTAAGTGGTGCAAAACTTATAGTTTACATCTTTCCTCTCCCTTGCGTTTTGGTTCAATAGTTATGAGAAGCAAAATTCTCTTTCCTTTTCACCCTAGGCAATAATCAGTGATGGATTTAAAATTTAAAAAATAAGATTCAAATTTTTAGTTTTTTTATGAAAATATATTTGCACTTTTTTAAAAATTTGTCTCCCAAAAACAAATTAAACTAATTTTAATAATTTTTTCAAAATAATGGACATGAACTTTGTTCCCGCCCTCGATCATAATTATTTTAAAAATATATTATAACTTAAAATTAATAAATTTAGTCGTACGCTATAGACAATGATACGAGGATCAATTGTTGATCGTTCTATCTCTTCATATTCATCCTTTCACTTTGAATGATCCGAAAACGCTTTGAGCAAAAGTAATTTCATTTTAGGTAAATTCTTGGTCAGAAAACACTTTTGCTCGACTCCCCGTTTCCAACATCTCAAAGTGAACCAAGCTGGAGATGAGCACATTACATCTCCATGTTTATTTTGCAGTGTCGGTACATATTATAAAATGCCTAGGGATCTGCCAGCTGCAAACAAGAGGAGCATAGTTTTCCTTTGTCTTTGCCTACTTTTGTCTTGCATTTGATTGATTCAACAGTGTAGTCAACCAATGCAACTAATTGCCGAATTCCGATGTCTGGCCCATTTTCGTTTTAAAAAAAATTGAAGTTAGATATAACGGGTGAAAATGGTTCAACATGCGTGCACCTTTTTTCCTCAATAATAGCAATCAATTAGATAAATGGGACTTCAATCAGATTCTTTTATGTTGGTTAAAATGTGTCTCCTTCAATAATGTTGGCAATAAATTGTATTCGGTTTTTATTAAAAAATAATATAAAAATGATTATTAAAAGTGAACCGCTCGAAAGAAGGAAAAAAAACATAGTTTTCTCTTATTATTGTTTTGTTCATATCAAATTTAATATTGGTGGTCGATTGTTGAAATTTTATATTGTTTTTTCTTTATATTGTATCTCTATTTTTTGTTTTTTTTTTGTTTTCAATAAGTATCCATGTATGATATGTTTTCATATGTATTTATAACACGTTTTCTTATGCAATTTAACGTGTTATTTGATCATTTGGTCGTTTTTTATTTATTTTTTTAAGGGTTGATTTTATATTATCACGATTGATCATGACAACGCTTATCTGATATCTCGTTGATCTTACCTACTTTGGACCCTCAGATCGGATGTGGATATCAGATTTATGTTCGTAGATAGCTTTTCACATCGTTTGAGTTTGATTTGCGACTTGTCGGTGGTCTTTCAATAGTTAATACTCTTTTGTGGTTCGTTTGCTGATGTAATCAGATCTGTTTGTATCTATATTTTTTCAAGTTTATTGGTTTTATTTTTCATCTTTATTTGTATGGTCCTTATGTGATATTAAGTTGTTAGTTTTGTTTTAATGATTATAAGAAATTTTCCTAATTATGTGCTTAATTTACAATTTTAAATGTAAATCTTTATTATAATTTAAGATATCACTTATTTTAAATAAAATTAGATATTTTATAAAAAATAATATAAAAATTGTTAATACATTTATGTAAAGAATTGTTAGGAGCTATGGTAGAAATTCAATCTCTCCTAGATGTGCGATCAAGATTGATCTTCAAAAGGCATTTAATTCCCTTGACTGAGATTTCCTTTCATCCATCCTCAATGCAATTGTTCTCCCTCCCATATTCATATCTTGGATCCAAGCTTGCTATTCTGGAGCAAGATATTCAATTTCCTTTAATGGTTCTTTAATTGGCTATTTCAAAGGTAAAAGGGGACTTAGGCAGGGAGATCATTTATCTCCCATTCTTTTTGTTCTAACCATGAATATTCTTTCTAAGCTCCTTAATCTTGCTGCCATCAAAGGTTTATTCGGTTATCATCCTAAATGCAAGAAAATAGGGCTCACTCATCTATCTTTTGCTGATGACTTCCTTATCTTCTGCAAGGGAAATTTAGAGTCTATTGTTGGAGTAATTTCCGTTCTTCAAAAATTTTATGAAATCTCTAGTCTCCAACTTAATGTGGCTAAGTCTGAAATTTTTGCAGCTGGTATTTCTCCAAGGAAACTTGAACTCATCAAAACCTCTACTGGTTTCAAGATTGGCCTTTTGCCAGTGAGGTATCTTGGAGTTCCTCTAGTTCACCGGAAACTCACTATTAAAGACTGCTACCCTCTTATTGATAATATCAAATATAGAATCCACCAGTGGTCTGGGAGGCGCTTAAGCTATACTGGTAGGTTAGAACTCATAAAAACTGTTTTACAGAACATTGCAAACTTCTGGTGTCGTCAATTCCTGCTACCTCAATCTGTTATTAACAAAATTAACCAACTTTGCTCAAGATATCTATGGAAAGGCTCTGAAACTTCAGCCTCTGGAGCTAAAGTAAGTTGGATCAATTTATGCAAACCCAAATCTGAAGGAGGGCTGGGATTAAAAGATTTGAAATCTTGTAATAAGGTTTGCATGATTCTGTTAATTCGCAACCTTCTTGCTGGTCAAGGTTCTTTATGGATTGCTTGGACTTACTCTTATATTATAAAAAATAACGACTTTAGCCAAATGTCTCCTAATGCTTCCTCTAGCTACATATTCAATAAACTTATAAAACTGAAAGATGGAGCCATCCCCATTCTTAATGCTGGTATTACGACCACTAAAGGGATTTAGGAATAAGTTAGACACAAACATGATAAAGTCCCTTGGCATAAACTTATCTGGTTTCCCCTTCACATCCCTAAATTTAGTGTTATTACTTGGTTGGCTATTCTTGATAGACTACCAACGAGGGATAGACTCCTTCGTATGGGTCTCACTACTGTTGGTTATTGTGTATTTTGTAATGATGTTCTTGAAACGAGAAATCATTTATTTGCTGATTGTACTGTGATCACTTTTCTTTGGAATGGTATTTTGCAACTGTCTCTTATGTCCGTTCCTCACATGCCATGGGAAATCAAGCTTGCTTGGGCCGCTTTAACTTGGAAAGGTAAATCTCTCTTAACCTCTATCATGAAGACTGCTTGGTGTTCTTTCATCTACAAGGTTTGGGAGGAGAGAAACTGTCGTATATTCTGAGGCAAATTCCGAACTATTGAAGACTTGCTTGGTTCTATAAAGAAGACAGTAGGACTTCATCATATGAATAGAGATTTCAATAAGCTTGATAATGTTAATATGCTTCTTTGTAACAATTGGAATATAGCCTAATTTGTTTGTTGTATAGTGGTCTCTGACCTTCTTTGAAACTTTGTATTTTTCTTCTTGGATAAATAAAAAAAATCTAACTTATCCAAAAAAAAAAGAATTGTTAGAGGCAATGATCATTGTCTATTTGTAAATAAAACTATAAGTAAAAAATAAAGAATATAATAAGTGTTAACATATTTCAAATTTAATAAATTGTTTGATCTTATTTAAATTTATTATGATCTAAGTTTGGATATAATTTTGTTGTTAGTTCAGGATTGACCGAAGTGGAGGATACTGAAGATATCGTTTCTCTGAAAATTTTAAATTATCATATATTTTAGATTTTTTATATTTTCATTAATAACACGTGTTCGTCTCTAAAATTTTATAAGGAAAATTATACGTTTAATACTTAAATTGTTACTTTTGTTCGGTTTTGGTACCTAAACTTTATTTTTTTAAATACCTGATGTTTAGTTAAATTTTATATTTTGAACAAAACTGTACATTTTTATTTTTTTTCAATAATGATGTGATATTATCTTATGGTACTACGTCAACAATTCTATTAAGTTTTTAAAGGTAGAGTATCAAAATAAAATCTAAACTAAACGTTGTTATGATTTCGGAAAAAAATAAAGTTTAAGTACCAAAATGAAATAAAAATAATCATTTAAGTATTGAACATGTAGTTTATCTAATTTTATGAATCCGTCACTCCTAAAATTCTCAAAGTTTACCATTATAACTGTTGAAAACATTTTGATATTTCGATATAACAAATTAAGTTAAATGAATTTTAAGATTTTCCAAATGCTTTTCTAAGTATATTCGATAGAATTATTCAAATATCAAAACATTACTCCAAATCTTTCAAATATCATTTTTAATCCTTACTCAAAGTTTAAAATAAAGTTTTAATCTTAAAACAATTTCAAAATAATTTTACAAAGTATTTCGAACCATTTCAAAGCCAAAAATTCCAGATTGTTCAGAGGGAACCGATTCCCCCCTAAGGGGGTACCGATTCCCCCTGAATGGTTTGGCTCCGAGAATTCCAGTATGCTCGGAGGGAACCGATTCCCCCCCAGGGGGTACTGATTCCCCCTTGTATAATGGTCGAAATATTTGAATTTTACACTTAGGGAACCGATTCCCCATAGGGGGTACCGATTCCCCCCACGCTCCAAGCTGTTTTATTAATTGTTTTCACACTAAAACGACTATACGATCTTCACTAATCATCCCTAACGTTCAGAAGTGATTCAAGGTGTATTTAAACAAGTTCTGAAGCCCTTGATCAATATGAAATTATAGAGAAACAAGAGAGAAAGCATCAAACACCAAGTTTGTGCAAATCAAGCCAATTTTCCTTTCAATATTCTTTTTGCTTTCAAAGAACACCATTTGTGCTCATTTGTAATTATTTGTGAGTGTTCTTTTCTTGTTCTAGAATTGTGCAAACATCTTACCTTGTGAGGGTTTCCTTGTAAGTTTGCAAATTTGTAATCTTCTCTTTGGGAAAGAGTGTTCTCAAGAATTGGGGTATATTCTTGAGGGTGTTGTAAGGTTATCTCTTTGGCATCAAAAGAAAGAACAAATTAGTGAATTTGTTGGAAAATCCTTAGTGTGGATAGCTAAGGTAGTGGACGTAGACTTTGATTGAGAAAGTCGAACCACTCTAAATCGCTGTGCAATTACTTTCAATTTTCTGCAAAAGCTTCCACCAAATTTTTAATTGCCAATTCACCCCCCTCTTGGCCAATTCCGTCAATCGATTAACTCAACAATTGGCATCAGAGCCTAACTCATTTGAAGGTTTAATCGCCTCTTGAGTCGATTCGGGAAGAGTTATATCGATAATCAAAGTCATCAATGGCCTCCGCTTCAAACTTCGACTCCAGTCTCGACTCGATGCCCGTCAACAAGCCTCCTTTCTTCAATGGAGCTAACTATGCATATTGGAAGAATAGAATGATGTACTTCATTCAAGCAAGTGACATGGGAGCATGGAATGCTGTAGAAGAAGGATACATCAAACCTCTCACTCATCCAAGGTTGTGGAGTGAAGGAGAGACAAGAATGTTCCAGCTCAACTCCAAAGTCATCCATATCATTTTTTGTGCTCTTGGACCAGATGAATACGGAAGAGTTTCATCGTGTACAACCGCCAAAGAAATATGAGACAAACTTCAAGTCACTCATGAAGGTACCGATGAGGTAAAGAAATCTAAAATTAGTATTCTAACGCATAGCTATGAAAATTTCAGGATGAAACCAAATGAAGATATCAAAGCTATGACGGATAGATTTTCAACGATTGTCAATGGTCTCAAATCATATGGAGAGATCATTTCAAATGAAGCTTGTGAGGAAGTTAGTCTACTCCCTCCCAAAATCGTGGCAATCAAAGAAGACGAAAATCATCGAGTCTAAGGACTTAACGCCCTTAACTCTTGAAGAGCTAATTGGGTCACTCCTCACTCATGAAATGATGCTCGAAGATGAGGTGGACCTCGACAAGATTGATGAGACACCAAAGGAGAAGGAGAAGAAGAAAAACATTGGAGTTGCTCTCAAATCCACAAAAGATGAGAGTGATTCGAATAACGATGACGATGACGAGGAAATGGCATTGTTTGCGAAACGGTTTAGAAAAATGATGAGACCATATTGAGGAAGAAAATTCAAACGAAATGAAGGCCTCAAAAATGAACCAAAAGAGAAGGACCCAATCATTTTGCTACGAATGCAAAAAGCCAGGGCATGTCAAATATATGATTGCCCACAATTGAAGAAAAAGGGTCAATCAAAGAATAAGCACAAGGCTCATGTGGCTACATGGAGTGATGAAGAAAGTTTCGATGAAGAGGAACAAGAAGTAGCTAACTTGTGCTTGATGGCATTTGGGGAAGATTCTAAGGTAACCTCTAACTCATCCGATTTTGATGATTTATCCTATGATGAGTTATTAGAGGAATATAATGGGTTGGCTTCGGATTATGAGAAATTATTTTTAAAATATAAAAATGATGTTTCAAAATTGAAAAATTAAAACAAACTCATATCCAAGACCAACAATGATCTTGAAAGTAAAATCAAAGATTTGCAAATCAAACTAGAAGAGTTTGAAAAGAAAAATTTAGATTTGCAAAATTTACTTTCAAAGATCAATGATGATCATTAAAAGAAAATTGATGATCTTAAAACTTCTTTTGATAAAGTTGGAACAAAACATTTTGAAAAAGGTGGAAATTCAAAATCCAACTTTGTTAGAAAAAGTTTTAGAAACTACAATCATAGAGGTCCCCAAAGAACCTCTAATGGAAAAATCGTTAGAAGTATGTGGTTTCCTAAAGAACTTATTACTACTAAAGATAAAAATATCCTACACAAATGGATACCTAAGGGGACTAGGATTTTGGAAACTAATGAATATGGACTCAAAAGAATTTGGGTACCAAAAATAAAAAAATTAATCTATGTTTGTAGGGAAAGGAGCATTGCTACAAGGCACGGGAAACAAATTCAAATTCATGGTACCTTGATAGTGGATGCTCAAGACACATGACCGGAGACAAAAGCCGGTTCATTGAGCTTAATGCCAAAAATGGAGGAGAAGTGACTTTTGGAGACAATTCAAAAGGTCACATTGAAGGTATTGGTACAATAGGTAATACCTCTTCCATACAAATTAAAAATGTTTTATATGTGAATGGATTAAAGCATAATCTATTGAGTATTAGTCAATTATGCGATAAAGGATTCAATGTCTTATTTGAAATTAATGGTTGTAAAGTCATTGACATTGCATCTAATCGGATTATGCTTGTTGGTCATAGAATAGGAAACATATACATGGTGCATTTAGATTCTTTTGATATGACTAATTTATGCCTAGTTGCTAAGGATGAACATGATAGTTGGTTATGGCATAGGAGACTAGGACATGCTAGCATGAGTGTTTTGCAACAGTTAATTCAAGGAGACCTAGTAAGAGGGTTGCCTAAGCTTAAATTTGATAATGATAAAATCTGTGATGCTTGTGCTAAAGGAAAACAAAAGCAAGTTTCTTTTAAATCCATTAATGATGTATCAACTAGTAGAGTTTTACAATTGATCCATTTAGATCTTTTTGGGCCAACTAGAACTACTAGCTTGGGTGGAAAACAATATGCATTTGTCTTGGTAGATGACTATTCTAGATATACTTGGGTTCTATTTTTAAATACTAAAGATGAAGCATTAGAACAATTCATCACGTTTTCAAAAGTAATCCAAAATGAAAAAAGGTTACTCTATAACTAGTGTTAGGAGTGATCATGGAACTGAATTTGAAAATCTTGGATTTATTGAATTTTGTAACTCTAACGGTATTAGCCATAATTTTTCAGCACCTAGAACCCCTCAACAAAATGGAGTTGTTGAGAGGAAAAATTGAACTTTAGAAGAAATGGCTAGAACCATGCTTTGTGAAA